TCTTGTAGTACCACATATTTTCCCTTATGCTTCTATTCATCTATAGTAACTCTCACTGAGACATCATTCGCTGTTCTTCAATGGCATGATTAATGATTTTCAAATTTGTATCTCCAGTATAGACTTCATTTCTGAATTCCACATGATCCAACTTGACATCTTCATTTGAATGTTTATATTTCAACATTAACATTCACAAAACTAAGTCCCTGGCAGTTTTCCCTCCACCTCTAACTTAATTCTCTTACAGAGAATTTGAATTCTTTATCTCAATTAATGGTAACTCCATCCATTCAGTTGCTCAGAAACAAAACATCCATGACTCTCTTTTATCTACCCACCATGTCTGAGCCATCAGGAAATCCATCTTTAAAACATATTAAGATATAACTAATCAGGAATCACCTTAGTTACAACTGCAGTTCACACCATACCACTTTTTATCTGCATATGATGTAAAACAGCCCCAAATTGGTCTTTCTGCTTCTGCCTTGCACTTCCATATGTTAACACAGTAACATGAGAGTCCTGTTAAAATATATACAGTCATATGATCACATCTCTTCATTCAAACTTCACCAATAACTGTCCTTATAGACAGAGAGAAAACACAAACATAACAATGACCTATGAAAGAAAGGCTGTGTTTCCCAAACTTCTTTGACTTCATTTTCAATGGGAGTTGATGAATTAACATATTCATGGAGAGAATATGTTAGACATACTCCCGTATTCCCCTATACATGGAATGCTCTTTACCTAGAAAACTTTATTCTGGATTCTTCTCTTTAGTTCTTAATTCAAATATTACCTTCTCAGAGGTAAGATTTTTTTACTGTCTTATTTTTCCTCTTTTGCATTTAATGCTCTATAATATTTCATGTATGTTACCAACAAGCATATTTATTCAGTCTTATACTATAAACTGAATAGACTGGTCTTTATTTACATATATATGTATGTGTGCATATATATATATATATGGAGAGAGAGAAAAAGGAGGTGAGAGAGAGATAGTGCCTGCCATATAGTGAGTATTGTTGAATGAAAATTTTAGTAAATGGACAAAGATGTTTGGTAACATCTTTAGTCACTTGCTTCAATATACAAGAAAAAATTGTATATGTGTCGAGATTTTCTGTACAAATATGACTTATAAAATAGATCGTAAATATATTAAATGCAGATCTTTCTTGTACTGTGAAATGTCACCAAGACATGTTAAACAGTTTTCAAGGTACAAATTTTATCTTAGCTGCTAAACAAATCAACACTTATTCTTAACTAGTGATATAATCAGGAGCTTTTCATAAAGCAAAATTAACTAAGGAGCCTCATTCTTTCAAGTGAAATAGTGTCTTGGGAGATTTGCTGAATTGCTTTCTTAAACATTACCGTGTGCAAGGTGGAGGATTAAACTACAGCCCTTGCAGAACGACAAAGGTATTATAATATTCTTCTAACTGGTCTCCAGGTCACCATCTCTTCCTTGTTGTATATACATTTTACTTGCTTCTAGGTCAGTATTACTAATACAGACCTCTGGTGATGGCATTATACTTCTCAGAAATCTTTATGGCTCCCTTTTTACTATTAAAATAGAATTCAAGATCATAAAACATGTGGAAGAGGCCTCTAAAGTCTAGATGCAACCTGTTTGCCCTTTATTATATTCTAATACTTTTCTACATTGCTCTCCAAGTTATGCTTATTGCCTTCTTAGATTTTCTGTGTTCTTATCTTTCTTCATAATCCGGAATCTGGAAGGTCTATTTAGAGTACACATCCAGGGCAGAGCAATTGGATGCAGGCTCTAAATTTCTACTAAAGGAACTTAAGATTATTTATCCACATTTCTCTTTGGGATTACATGAAGTTTATATTCTACTATATTCTACAGGTCTTATTCTTGTAACCTTTTGTTAACCCGCATTTCATACATTCTCAGCATGGTTTGTGAACTAAACACAGTCCTTGGCATTTGCCTTCTTGAAATCACCGCTTTTATAGAGATTAAATGTCTTTTTATTATATAACCTCTTTTCCACTCCTGCAACTCCCAAAGCAAACAGAGGGAGAGAAAAGGAGAGAAAGAAGCGAGATGTGCTGTTCCTCACATTTGGAATTATATTTAGCCTCCTCCTTGTATACTACGTCCTCTATAGCTACCAAAGAGGCAAAAAAAATCTAAAATAAAATCTGATAATCACGTCCCTCCCCAAAAATTTCTTCAATGGCTAGCTATTGCCTTCAGTATGGCCTTAGTGCTGACATAATTCATTTCCCACTTTTATCTCCAATCTTATTTCCATCATTATATTCTATCTCTCTATTTTGTGCATGTGTCTCTCTGGGCTGAAAGTGTTGTTTCTCAGCTGTTTCTTTTTCCTAGACAATTGTAATTATTTCTTAAAGACCACTCTTCCATCTTCTTCACTAACCATCCTTGGCACTCCACAGTAGAATCTACAAGTTTCTAACTTCTCCTTTCTAGTGTGACCATGTTTTCCTACATCACCACAACTGTCACACTGGTTTAAATCACTCATTCACTTTCTGTCTTTCCTTTCTGCAACCGTAAGTATTAGGGGTATACCATTGTATCCATTTATCTTGCAGAACAAATAAAATAACACCCATCCCTATTACCTGTTATTCAAGAAAAGCCTAAGGGGCAAGATAGAAAAGAAAATGGCAGAATTCATTTAAAGCAAAAAGCGGATTGAAACTTTTGATCTCTGAACTCAGGAATGAGCATTCTTCCTTAGCTATGCATTGTCATTGCTTTACAAATAATACATAATGGAGTGACTATCACAAAAGGCCATCAATGAGCTTATTTTAATTTGTCATCACTGAAAGACTGGAAATAAGACAGGCACAAATACTCTGCCATAAATGGAGAGCTGAATTTTTCAGGTCTGATCACAGTAAAATATGAACTCGATTTTCTGGGTAAGGAAAGTTGGAGACATTCAGATCCAGACTGATTTATCTTCTTTGACCTATGCCAGCCTCAAAGACCCTGAGCTTTGTCCTTCTGCCATGGCTGCTTTAGGTGTTAGCACTGATAATGGGGAAAAGACTTTACTCATAAGGAGGCTATATCTGTGAAAGACTCCTATCGATTTCTAGCACCTTTTTCTGAAATGGTATATTTTTGGTCAGAGAAAATGTCTCAAGGGTCCATTTAGTTAAAAAAAAAGCTATATCATTAAGCTCCACATACTCTAAAAATAATGCTAAGATTCCTCTTTGTCTAACTTTCCTTTTACCTTTCTGATCACCAGAATGACCAAATAAAATTAACCTACTAATGGCTTTATTCCTTATCTTGTGTCAGGAAATGTGTTTGTACTTATGTTTTTTTAAGGAATCTGAAAGGAGAGTTTTTATGAGACACACTTAGACACACATGTTTTATAGTACCCAGGTAATTATCAATTGATTAATCTATAAATGATTTGACTCCCTGCTTCTCTGAAGAAGCAAAAAACTGTTTTGAAGTCAAAGCTAGCTGAGACTTCATTACTTGTTGCAAAATAAAATTTATTTTAAGTGGTAGAGTCCCACTGGGGAGCCTAATGTGAGTAATTGCCATTACATGCAATCTACCAAAATAAATGCTGCCATTACATTTAGTGACAGTAGCATCTTCAAATGTGATTTACATTTCTCTCTAATGAAAATTAGTCTGTGTTGCATACTTTCTGATTTTTCTATGTTCCTTCTATGGTAACACAATTTGATACTTCTATTTATTCTTGTAATTACTGAGTAATATTTATGAAAGGCAATTGGATAATGTGTTTTTCTGAGCACCTAGATTTATATATTCTGCTGCCCCAAAATATCTACTGTCCTGCATTACGTATTTTGATTTAATTCCTTTAAACTTGAAATGGGTCTTGAGCCACTCCTATGGGTCTATATAATGCAGCATTTTTTATTTGGATAGAAAATTCTAATAAAAGTAACCTGGAGATGGCATTGAATGGAAAATAATTTGAGTATTAAATAATAGTACCATATTTAGAATATGTGTTCGATATTGGGAAATGTAGCAGATGATTATACTTACTCATTTTGCTGAGGGCAAACATGAAGATTAGTATCAAATAACTGGTGAAAGTCAATACTAGAAGGTAGCTGGGTCAATATTCAAATGAAGGTGAACAGAGATACCACATGGGTATGTGTGTATGTGTTATCCCTGATTGTCCCATAGTCCCAAGCTCAAAAAAAGACAGAGTCCAAGCATTTTCCTGTCCAGTCTATACCAGAATATATACTGAAAAGGCCTTGGTTCACAGGATGAGAAACCAGTATATCATTTAGTTAGTAATTTTCCTTTCTGTGACTTCTGGCAGAAGCACTCTCTATAGCCAGGGCCAATTGTTTTCCTCTAATGACAAGGGAGGGTAGCCTGAGGCTATCCTAAGAACTCCAAGTTTATTTATCATCTTTTCTTTGTTCTGTGGATGGCATCCAACTTGCAGCTTTGACTGGGCTCATGGGGAGAGATATGCTAATTGTTTCTACTCTACAAGGAAAACAAGATCTGGCTATTCTCCAATGTCATGAGTGCAAATTTTTAAGCAATTATAAAAATATACCTATACTTACGAAAACTTATGCCCACATCAAAATATATTTACTGAGCAGATTTTGCTATGGGCATATATAGTAAGTAATAGAAATAAGATATGTTAAAGATTCTCAGAACCTACAAAACCTTGGAAAACTATAGAAATATATAACACTTTACAAGAGCAAACAATAAACACATCTCTTGACAAGAAATTAAAAGATCTGTAGTAAATCCAGTTGTGAAGCACTTGGCTAGGCTGTTCAAACTTGAAGTTTGAAGGTGAGATCTCATTCACTCAATGAAATAGGATCATTATCCTAGTTTGTCAACTCTTGAAGAAAATATGAGCATTGGCTTTTTCAAATTTACAGAAAAAAATCATAATTTCTTTGCATTAAAACAGAAAGAAGTGCTCACTTTGGCAGCACATATACTAAAATTGAAATGCTACAGAGATTAGCATGGCCCCTGCGCAAGGCTGACACACAAATTCGTGACGTGTTCCTTATTAAAAAAGAAAAAAAAGAAAAACAGAAAGCAAACATGAGCACTACTTCCTGCTTTTGTCCTTACTTCTCTTCCTTGTTTTGCCTTTGCTCCTCTTTGCCAGGTTTCTAGCCAACACCACTTTCCGAGGACTCAGTGGCTCCGTCAGAGTGAAAGGCTCCACCATCATCAGCTCAGAAAACAATTTTTTCATCTGGAATCTTCAGCATGACCCTATGGGAAAACCAATGTGGACCCGCTTGGGTAGCTGGCAGGGAGGGAAAATTGTCATGGATTATGGAATATGGCCAGAGCAGGCTCAGAGGCACAAGACCCACTTCCAACACCCAAATAAGTTACACCTAAGAGTGGTGACCCTGATTGAGCACCCATTTGTCTTCACAAGGGAGGTAGATGATGAAGGCTTATGCCCAGCTGGCCAGCTTTGTCTAGACCCGATGACTAATGACTCTTCCATATTGGACAGCCTATTCAGTAGTCTCCATAGCGGTAATGACACTGTGCCAATCCAATTCAAGAAGTGCTGCTATGGCTATTGTATTGATCTTCTCGAACAGCTAGCAGAAGACATGAATTTTGACTTTGACCTGTACATTGTTGGAGATGGAAAGTACGGAGCCTGGAAAAATGGACACTGGACAGGGCTGGTAGGTGATCTCCTAAGTGGGACTGCCCACATGGCAGTCACATCTTTTAGCATCAATACTGCAAGGAGCCAGGTGATAGATTTCACCAGTCCTTTCTTTTCCACCAGCTTGGGCATCTTAGTGAGGACCCGAGACACAGCAGCTCCTATTGGAGCCTTCATGTGGCCACTCCACTGGACAATGTGGTTGGGGATTTTTGTGGCGCTGCACATCACTGCCATCTTTCTCACTCTGTATGAGTGGAAGAGCCCCTTTGGTATGACGCCCAAAGGGCGAAATAGAAGTAAAGTCTTCTCCTTCTCTTCAGCCTTGAACGTGTGTTATGCTCTTCTGTTTGGTAGAACAGTAGCCATCAAACCCCCAAAATGTTGGACTGGAAGATTTCTAATGAACCTTTGGGCCATTTTCTGTATGTTTTGCCTTTCTACATACACAGCAAACTTGGCTGCTGTCATGGTAGGTGAGAAGATCTATGAAGAGCTTTCTGGAATACATGATCCTAAGGTAATGTTTTATTTTACTCTGGATTTTTTTATTGCTTATTTTAATGTCATGTGTTGTGTCTTATGCTGTAGTATATCTGCCTTCTTTATATAATGCAGACATATTCTCTCAGCTAATTGTAGAGACTACTCCAAAAGTGTGTGGCCTGGTTAAAGTCATTGTTATATTGTATTAAATGGAGAAAAACAGGGAGAGGTTTTAGGTAGTATTTGTTTTAGAGTTGATAGTCTGTGTAACTACATCAATTAATGCAGCTTCTCATATCATTTAGCCATCTGACAGATTAGCTATCAGGGAATAGTCTTCCAAAATCTTTTTATCCACAGAGGATTTCAAAAACAAACCAACTGCTTCTTGGAAATCAGTAATTGGTGGAAATAGGATCCATGTTTCAAATAGTAAGGCGTATTTTCCCCATTAAATACAGTGAAATGCGAAGAAGTAGCATTTTCTCCTAAGCACAATAAAATTACTACTAGTAATCTCAATCAGTTCTAAGCTAACTACCATGGGTTGGGGGAGGGGGCTTCCAGTATTGCATTAAAATATCCATGAGATATTCAAGAAAATTGTTGACTGTAGGGTAGGGAAAAGGACTTAGGCAAACAGACAAAGCATAATGGCACTCAAGTATATAGATAGTCACATGTATGTTCTCTCTGAATTAAAGTAGAACCCTTTTTAGTGAATGGGAAGAGAATCTAGCCCAGTCAGTGGGAGTAGAGAAACAGTGTTGTCAAGGCCCAAAGCTATTGGATGGGGCTCGAGTGTGTACTGCAGCCCTGATGGGACCCAGGATGCAGATCCTGAGAAGGAATACATTACACTGTGCAACACACCTTGTAGAGGGAGAGAAAGCTCCAATAGTATAGACACCTCCAGAACACCTTTCCAGGTGCATCTACTACCCCAATCTCAAAGTACTAACCATTTGCTATACATTTCTGCTGAACATTTAAAATTAAGTTGATTAATCATCAACAAATGGGACATCTGCAGCTCCTTAGAAATGAATTGGTTTAATACACAGGACTGGTGATAGTTTCAGAGACTTCTCATATAGTTTTTACTAGGAAAGTGAGAAATTTCACTCACATATTATTCAAATTTCCTGATAAGTGACACCAAACATAGGAAAGGATTCTATTAGCAATGTCTGTCTAACTAGGCAAGGAATTGTGTTGCTTCCTAATGAATACTCGGAGGTTTATGTTAGAGCTTGAATTCAATGAATGCAAATAAGTTCTTTAGCATAAATAACTGCATTACCCCAAAGAGAGATTTGGGTGATATACCAGCATTCATACTTAGCAGCAATATTAGCAGCCACTGTTTATTCTTTTCCCCAGTAGACCTGTAGATCTATTGAAGAATCGCAGTCTTGCTAGAGATGTATGCAGATTTTTGCAAGAATCTTGCCAGTGTGACTTCTAAAATTACAGACTCAAAATGGAAACCATTCAGTCCAATCTAGCACAAAAGCAACCTAATATATGCCTGCTGTGCAGATTCCAGACTATTATCTTATGTGAAAAGCTGAATACAATGCTGACTAGAGTTGCATTCATCAAAAGCAGGATTGCAAAAATTAAGTCATGGATGCTATGCATGAGAAACCTGAAGCAGTGACTCTTCCTGGAGATTAAAAACAATATCAGATAAACCGGACACAGCCACAAAACCATTTTAAGCAAAATGATATAGCTCTTCCATCCCTGACTCCACTATAATAAAGAAGTAAAATTTGTAGCAAGCTAACCCAACCAACAAAACAACAAAAAGCCTGACAAACAGGCAAGAGTAAACTTGGTGTTAGAGCAGATTACTCCTTAATGAAGTGAAGCAAGTCTAAATGTAAACTAGTTTCTATTTGCAATAAGAGTGAATTTGAAACAAAAGCTCACCAGTGTGTATCAATCTAAACTACTGCTGTTTCTCTGTTAGGTAATCTCTCATTTATTACCTAACAGAGAAACAGCAGTAGTTTAGATTTTACACATATACACACATTTATATAATATAAATGGTTTAGATTTTACACACACACACACACACACACACACACACACACACACACACACACACACATTTATATAATATAATATATATTCACAGATTAATTGACTATATGTATTTGGTGTCCTGTTGGAGAAATTCCAGTCTGAAAAGAACAAATTTAGTTCAGATAACAAATGATCTTTGATGTCCAGCCAATATTGAATGTTGGTAACAGTTTTTCTGTCTTCCTTCAAACACATGATATAATGTGCACTACATAATATCCTCATTCTCCCACAAAGACATAAGATAAAATTAATTTCCATACCCTCTCAGTCACTCAGCCTTCACTGTTTGGTATATCATAGATTCCACATAAGTGTTTTTCTCTCCTTACCAATGCTAATTGCTTTTAAAATAGCATTATTTTTCTTCCCACATCAGTTGATGTGAAAAAACACAGAGGTAAATGAATCAAATAATTTGGTGACAGTCAAGTAGCAGAGGAAAGACATGTACATGAGGAGAAACAACATAGATCGATATGAAGTTGTCCAAGTTTAGTATTACTCAAATTCAAGGAAGGACGATGACTGGCAACGCATCAGATGAGGGAAAAGTTTCATTAGTGAGATAAAATCCATGCTTATATTTAAATAATACTTAGAGTCTGGGTATGTGCATCAGGGAAGGAGAAATCGACATGGGATTCATAAGAGCACAGTGGGCTGTGGAGGTGGGAAGGATAACAAGTATGCTGGAAATCGTAAGGAATTCTGTTTTGCCACAAAACATCACAGGAGGGGAAAGAGAGGAAATCAAGGTCTGGGGGGAAAAAGCAAGTTTAACTGAGATAACAAATGATATTTGATATCAGACAGAGAAATGGGAGCTTCTGGTAATAGTCCATAGTCCATAGTCACTTGGAACAATAGAGTAACATGGCAGAACGGTCTTCATTGAGGATGATTGCTCTGGCAAGCAGCAAGGTAACATGATCGGAAGAGAACAAAAGCAGGATAGAAGTTCAAGCTGTAGTCAGTTGCTTATAAATGGACAATGGAAGCACTGTGGTGGAGATGAAATCAGGAGGACCTGACCAAGAATTGGGCAGGAGAGGCAACAGTCACACTCAAAGACAGTCCTCCTTTCATGGTGGGAGGGAAGTATGAATGGAGAGGGCGAAGGGGGAAGAGTGTCGTCAAAAACACTTCAAGGATAAAGTTTGTCTGGGAAGGGAGAAAAAAGGGATGAGACAGTGAGGAAGGGGTAAGTCCAGTCAACACACATTGTATGCTTATATGGGCATGTCACAATAGATACAAGCTAACGACAGTGTGAGAAAAACACACAGCCACTGCCCTGTGTGCCTGAGAAAATGATGGCACCATTGGGAGCGGGCGGGACAGAGAAGGCAGTTTACAGGCCACAAACAAAACAAAATGGTGACCAGGTCAGGTCAGTTCCGTTCATGGCATTTAAAAGTCCCTTGTGGAACACTGAGCAAAAGCTATCCATCTCTAACAAACATGGAGCAGGGAGAGTTCAGGAATGAGAAAGAAGCTCGTTGGAAGTCCTGAATAGAAAGGCCACACTGTGTATTAAAGGCCCCACGGAGTATAAGGTTCCCAAGGATAATGGGAAGAAAAATTGCTGTTTGAAGGAAAACACCATGAGTTAGAAGTCCAAATGTGTTGCGGGATAAGGTTTGTGAAGAGAGGAGATGGGAGATAAAGAAGAAAAGGTGCCCAGTAGCAAGTTGGGCAGACCCTGGAATACCATTCTCTTGGTTGAGTTTTGACATTTTAAGAAAATGGAACAAAAAAGAGAAAAGAAAACGGTATTGTCCTACTCTTT